TTTTTTTTTTTTTTTTTTTTTTTTTTTTTTTTTTTTTTTAATTATGAGCGCAGCTTCAATTATTGGGCTGGCGATTCCTGTCTACATAGGTACCGAGCGTGTTTTCCAAAGTGGGATTCAGAGCGGAAGGATGGGCCCATTCGAGCGTGCTTTCTATTCGTGGAAAGCTGCGAAAGCTCGAAACCGTCGAGCAATCGTTATCGGCACCGCCTACACGTCTTGGCGTTTTGTTTTACGTGTGTCAGAGTTAAAAAAAAAAAGGGAGTCTTTTGTAAGTGCGTAATTAGTCGCGGTCGAGAGGAGCTATAGTTACCTGCAACCAACCCAAAATCGATAACTTTTCCTTCCAAATATTTCTGCTTGTAGGAAAAAAAATAAACAACTTCATTCAGGTATCCCTTTGAATAAAGTTTTTTTTTTTTTTTTTTTTTTTTTTTTTTTTTTTTTTTTTAATTGAACTTGGCTCTGAAATAAAAGGCCAATTAAAGATTACCGTTAAATTGACGCTCTCCAAGCTCAATAACTTTTGTCAAAACTTTTTTCGATCAACAGCTTTCCTGGTGAGGTTACTCATATAGGTAGATAAATGAAAATACTTATTCCAAGGTGTATGTATATGTGCACATAGCAAAGTTTTTTTACTAACTCGTGTAAAGTCCAGATGACCTGGGGTTCATGGTTGAGCCCAAGGACTTACATTTGTAGGTTTCTATTAAAAAAAATTCCCAATTTCTTGTAGCATTTCAAGAAAATTAAGAACAATTTTTTCACTACACATTCTAAAATGTACACGTCTATTACGCGTAAGCGTTGAAGGGCAAAGGTGTAGTATTAAGGTACATCAGCTACTTAATGGCCTCGTGACGTAATTTACTATTTTGTCCACTACAGCGAGAATATGACATTTTACAACCAAGAGTAGAATATGCAAAAAGTATAGATTTCAAAGAATCACAACTCTTTTTTACTGTAAATTTTTTCGTAAAATTACCTCTGTTATGTTGTCTTCACACTGCAACACATAGATCGTTTCGTTTTACTTTTTAATTATATTTTATACATTTTAGAAAAAAGTATAAACTATAAAAACTACTCAACCTAATAGATGAAACTTTTTTGTATCCAACGTGCTTAGCTTGAGGGTACATAAAAAACTGGTCAACAAAAAAATTATTTTGAAATCTATGATTCTTCTACCGATGTTTTTTTTATTTATAAAATACTCACATTATTATTGTCACATCGAACTAGAGAAAAAAAAAATTTCAACTTGGCAAAATGATTACCTTAGCTTACGACAAGGATCAGCCAGTTTAATGAAGCGTATCAGGTTTAAAACATTTTCCTTATTATATACTAAAAAAACATTATGTTATACTTGCCTTAAAAACGGACATCACTTGACAAAAATTAAAATACTGCCATAAGTAGCGCAACACTTTCAAGTATATGTCGTCTGAGGTACTGGTCGTGCCTTACATACAAGCCCGTCGTATTTTACATGAAATCGTTTCAACAAATAAGAGAATTATTGATGTACTAAATTCTACGCTGTCAGATTGATTGATGAATTGAACAACACTTTCCACGATGTCATCACAATCCAGCTAGTATCGAGTATCATAGTCATATGTACAAATATATTCTTTTTATCAATGCTGGAGCTATTCAGTCCAGATTTCATGGCTGTGTTTGTTTATCTTTGCTGTGTTCTGGTGCAAAATTTTTTTTACTGCTGGTACGGCTACAAACTAAGTGAAAACGTAAGATTTTTTATTCTCTTTGAAACTACTTTCATTAAAATAAACGTTCACTCTTTTGATTTTTGACTAATTAAACAAACGAATTTTTTTTTTTAGAGTCTTTCAGTGCTCGAAGCAGTTGCCAACATGGATTGGTACATTTTACAAACGAAAACAAAAAAACTGCTGCTCTTCATGATGCTGATGATGTCCTACAAAATCGAGCCTTTCACCAATGCAGTCTTCGAACTTACCCCGGAATCGTTTATAAAAGTTTGTCGATGTAGTGTTAATTTTATTTTTACAACAAACAACCATCGCAATTAAACCGCAAATACACTTTTTTCAGATCTTGAAGTTGTCGTATTCAATATTCACTGTGTTGCAAAGAACGAGCCACAAAGTTATGGAGATCGACCGCACGTAGCTTCAGCCAGTGTTTAACAATTAGTAGAAGATTTATTTTCATATCTTGCATTTTGTAGAGAGGCTGTAAGAAAAGTGAAATATTTTCGCATGCTTGTACCCAAGATTATTTTAAAAAATGGCATTTCGCTAATTAAAGGTGACAAACGAAACATCGTACACTTGCATTTCATAAATCTCCCTAGCAAGTAACTTGGCGTAACAAAAAAAAAAAAATTTGCAACCCCTCGGGCAGCTTTCATAAGCCCCATACACCGTCGTAACTCGAATGGCACTCGGGAAAATGTACTTACATCCGGCATATGTCACGTGACACTATTTTAAAATGACATCGTAACGTAAAATGTCACGTAAGAAGAAGAAGAAGAAGAAGAAGAAAGAAAAAAAGATTAAGCGTTAGCATTTTTTCAGCCTGTAATTTCCGTTTGTATTAACTACTAGGTGTTTTGCAGAGGGGGGAGAAAAAAGTTCTCTCTGAAGTAAGTTTTTCTTTGATGAAAGACCCCTGGAAATTAGTGTAAAACCCGTCTTTTGTGCTCTTTAAGTAGAATTATCGATCGAGACGATTTACCGGATGTACACTATGGACACGTTGTAATCGGTATTCTTATTAGAGGGCGATGCTAGAAAAAATGTCATACCACAATTTGAGATAAACGCCCCATGTAAAATTCAGAGGAGATCATAAGACTTGGAAGACGTGAACTGTCGTTCAGTTAAGTTTCACGATCACTTGTTACATCTTTTTACTCCTGTGGACGTTTTGAACGATCGGTTGGGTACGCCGGACAAAAAGACGAACGAGGTGGTCGAGTGCCATTAGGAATGGAGAAAAAAATTTTTCCCCTGCCCATCACGGGGCTGCAAATCGCTGGATTTTGGAAGTTGACGAATCTCTCGAGGAAAAAATTGCCCAGCCTCTGTTACGACGTTTACACGACGTTTTGCTTCGCGAGCGTGATTTTTCTCGCAGTGACGATCGTAATGGACAGCGCGTTGTCCGAAAAATCGGTTCGGGATATCATCGAAAACATGTACCTGATACTGGTCGTGCTTAACGGGATGGCTAAGATGATAAACGTTACCTTTCGCAAGCCTAAAATCGTCAGGATTTTTCGGAGACTCTCCGAGGACAGGTGGCTCGTTTCGCGGGACGAAGTAGAGGCTGGATTGATCAGGGAGTCGGTGTCGTCGGAAAGGTACGAAGTACATTTCATCATTCATACTTTTTTTTCAGCCTTTGTGACCCAATACAATTTTAGTTTATGGCACACCTGTGGAAAATCATTTTTTAACCACTTACGGGCTATAGCCGTGCTCCCCTTCATGACCTACTTTCATATATTCCTCCTCTACCTCCTTAACATATTGATGGAAAGTAACATTAAATTAATAGTGCAGAAAAAAAGTATAAGTAACAAAAAAATTAAATACAAATTTAGAAAAACAGAATGACTGATGAAAATACAGCTAGATGAAGAAGAAGAATTGGTTTCGAAACAGTTATTTCCAATATCTAAAAAAAAAAACGATGAACAGCACAGAGTCACATTTTTGGCAATTATAATTAAATAAGAATGTAAACAAAAATTTTGCATGATCTAGACTTGGAATGAAATACGTAGGTACATGTCATTAAAGCCGTTTAGAGACACGAAGTGGTAGTTTTCGTAGCTGGTGGTGCAAGACCCGAAGGATTCCTTGTGCTTGCCCTGGTTGGATGCGCACCAGGTGCGAACCCTATTTTTCCTACCAAGGGCACACCCGACCCTCAAAAACGCTCGGGGTGGGAAAATAAACTTTACCTGAAAATGGAGACAAAAGCATGGAAATGGAAACCCCAAAGGTGGAAAGTGAGCACATCACCTACAAGGACACTACGTAGACGTATTTATAAATATATAAAGAAAAGGGTAAATATTATCAATTAGACAGGATAAAACCGTTTAAAAACCAAGATTGTAGTTGACAACGGCTTCGTAATGTCATGTAGTACCATAAAGTAATGATAATAGTGGAAAAAAAAAAAAAAAAAAAAAAAACGTAGACTCGGAAAGATACTTACTTGAGACAGTAACGAAGCGTATAAAGTCGTTGGTTTTACCGATGATCAAATTCTTCCCAATGATAAGCACACACACTTTATGTGGACGTTTTTGCAGATACATAACGTGGGTCTGCATATACAGCATAACACTGAACGGCATCAGCAACGCACTGGGTCCACTGATCGATCGCAGTTCAGAGCCGGATCTGATGGTCGACGCGTACTCGCCTTGCGACGCGCGTCATCCCACGTGTTTCTGGCCATCGTATGTTAATCAGGTGTTCGGCTACATGTGCACGAGCCTCGTTCAAATGGGCTGTGACAACCTCGTCTACAACACGATGGAGCGCATCAGCACCCACTTCCGTATACTGGAGCACCGCATGTTGTTGCTGCCGAAGCTCGTTGGGGCGAATAAGTGCCAAGAGACGCGGTACCTCAAGCAGTGCATTCGCGATCACCAGAGCATCAACGAGTTGGTTTTGCATTTTTTTTTTTTTTTTTTTTTTTCATCCCATGGATATTACGACATTCGATCGGTAACAATCACACATACATGGCATAATTGCTTCCACTGTTCAAGGACCATAAAGGATCTGAACGAGGCGTTTTACGAGCAAATCTTCATACAATTTTTAACGAGCATCTCGGTGTTGTGCACGAATATCTACCTCCTGTCGATCCTCGATCTCATGAGCTCGGATTTTTTGTCGGTCTTTGCGTTTCTCTGCTGCGCCCTCATAGAGAACTTTTTTTACTGCTGGTACGGCTACGGCGTTTTGATGAGCGTAAGTACATGTATATCACTTCGAGCCAATATCCTCGCGTCTCTTGTCGATTAAGTAACGATTTTTCAAACGATCGGTCGTGTCGCTCCACGCCATGTATATAGAGCCTCCACGTCTCCGATGCCATAGCCAACATGGACTGGTGGGAGTTGACCAAGGAGTCGAAGCAAATGCTCACGTTTGTGATGCTGCAAACATCGAGGAAGGTCTACATCTGCAAAAACGCCATATCAACCCTCACCCCGGAAGCTTTTGTCAATGTTAGTCAAGCTATTTTTATTATCCGATTAAAGATTTCGATTCGGTCATTCAAAATGTATTGTTCGTCATTATTTAGCATATCCGTTTACTTGACTTGAACAAGTCCAACAAATTAATTGGAATCGCTTATAAATTAAAGGATACAAGTTGCACCAATAATCTCAAATGCCTATATAAAGACATACGCTCTGATCGGTTATCGCAAATCTTTGATGCGATTTCGATTGCATGAGCTTCTGGCAATATGCAAAAAAAAAAACCTTCTTTTCTTTATTTTTTGAATAAATATTTATGTACAGTTTGGTGAAAAATAGCTAATATCTGAATATTGAAAAAATTCACGTTCATACGTTGCTTATCGAGTAATCAAAAGTACCAATATTAACTCGTATACATCTATTTTATACTTGTACAGCTTTTACTTCTTTGGACTTTATATGATAAAAGTTTGCGTTTGCCTTTTGGTGGTTGTTTAACCATTCTTTTATTCATTAATATTATTATCATTCTTGTTGTTGTTGTTATTATTATTATTATTATTATTATTCGCAGATATTAAAAGTCTCGTACTCGGCGTTTAACATCTTGCAAAAAACGTCCAAGAAATAGATCAAACGGAGTAAAAAGGACCATTTACGGGACATAATTTTTATACCCGATTGGTTATTAATTCCATCGATAAATAAATGTTTTAGCCGAATAAATAATAACTGCAAAATACGTATTTATTTATCAATTTGTACTAACAAAGGCAAGTTGTCATTTCAAATAAATTTCAAATTAATCAGCATGACTTGCGTGAAGACACACTTTATTTACGATTGAATTGAACCGCCTCGGACACACTGGTGACGTGGTGACAATATTCGAAGCAAGGGGGCGCTGAATATTGTTTTGAAAATATTTTGAAGTTGGTATATTGGAGGCTTGGAGCAACAGGCGTCAATATACAACAATTGTTCATTTTTTTTTGTTTAACATTCGTAAAGTGCCAGTGAATTAGTTTTCTTTTTTTATGTACATACCTACGTGTTTTACTTTTTTTTTTGGAAATTAGTTGAACAACGTTGAATACGTAGATAAAAAATACCGTTCAAATGCTCTTTTGAGGTTATCCGGAAATTGTTTAATTTAAAATAATGCTTTGGAGGTCCTATGTTTGTATCAGCTTTGATGATTGATCAGTGAAATAACAAGAAAAATGGATGTAGAAGAAATTTTGATAGATGATGATGACTTTGATGATATTGACATTGAGATCTTGAATGTTGGAGTAAACGAGGATTCGCCATCACCGGATAAAAACAAGCCAATTTTGAAAAACGAAACTGTCCATAAAAATCCAGTTGAGGAGCACTTGATGAAACAACTCAACTGTGCACGCAACCAAATTGACCAGGCTAAAAGCAACATCGAGGTTATTCAGAATGTCACCCAGAGAATAGTGCAGAATTTGTCTTCCAAGGCTGCTTACAGGGACAACACCAGTTCAGACTCTGATGGTGATGTAAGGGTTTTGATTTACATTGTTTTTTTTCTACAAATTATGCTTTGTTTATATTAGAGTAACATAGGTCAATGTTCAGGTGTTTTCAAGTTGTGGTGAGCCAATTGCTAAGAAAAAAAAGAATAAGTACTATGAAAAACGTCAGGTGCTGGTTGTTCAAAAAACTTGGCAACGTGTCATTGATGACAAATGGATCATAGGAGTGGTACTGCAAAGCTCCACCACATGGTAAGTAGAATGATTTGAAATTTCGTTTAATCATGTAGAGATTATTTCGGTTTAAAAGACATAGATTAGGCACAAGAGCTTAGTGTAAACAATTCAATAAATTTCACCATGCATGAAAAATGTTTTATGATGGTGTTTGGGATTGCAATTTTTATTCTATTATTAGTTTTGTTTATTTTATAATAAAACTTGAAATCACTTTTTTAACTTTAAAGGAAAGGATCTGTAAAACAATACATATTATCATCTCACATGCTTAGGATGAATGAAAAAACGTTTTTTATTTTTTTATAAACAGTACAGTTTTTCTTGATACTTTTTGCCAGTGTTTGTGTGAGTCATTTTATGATATTGACTGTTAACAAAATTTTTTATTTCAATAATAATAAACTTTTAAAGCATTCACTGTACTTACAGTTAAACAATACCACATAGCAATCACACAGTTATCTACTCATACCCTATACTACAGAAAAGCAAAAAAGAAAAAAAAAATTTTTCTTCAGTTTAGTTATTAAAAAGTCATGCATTCACGCCTAATCTGTCACATTTGCAAATAAATACCTAATCTAACGTCATTCGATTTCCTTCATAATCCTCATAAGTAATGTTATTCCGTGTTTCTCATCACTTATTTCGTAAATCATAAATTATAATTCTGGATTACAAAAATAACAATTCCAAGAAAGCTCTGCAAATTCGCAGTCTTTTAGGTGCCATGTTATTAATAAGATTCTTAACTTATTATTCCTCTTATAAACAGTGTATTTATTGTATTCTTAGAAATATAACTGCTCTAAATTATATTATGTAGTGTTTTTTTTTTCTATTATGACGATTGTATCATCAACAATTAGAAATTCTTAAGTATATTAATAATCACAAATTACGATTTATTTGCATTTATATAATAGTTATAAACATGATAAATTTTTTTAAATATAATTAATTGTAGTTCCTTATAATTAACTGCCTTCAAGATTGCATTTAAATTCATCACTACTTCATCTTGATTATTCTTTTGAAAATTTTTCAAACCCATGGATTTAATCATCAACTAGTTTCACTATAAATAATGTGTTACTAATTGTACAAACTTAAATCATGAAATACCTATATAAAAAATTGTTCTTTGGTCATGATCAATACAAAAACTAAGAGAACTTACAACTCAGCACCTTTTTTGCTGTCACTTGAAAAAA